ATTTTACATAAATACTTGGGCCAAGAGATTTAAAAGTTGGATACAAAAAATTGAACTCTGAATTCACAAGCTTCGCACCCAAAGAAGAAAGAAAATGAGAGTTTCTGGTAAGTAGTTGTTAATGGAATCAAATTTTTCCTTAAAGGTGCAGAATGACGAGCACCATACAGAGGTATTTTGAGTGTGGATTATGTAAATGAATAGCGGAAGCTGTTGACATCCATATAAAATTAAATATTTTTCATCTGTTTTTACTCAAATTTATATGGAAGCATTAATTGGGAACATTCTTCTGCTGTATTTCATTTTTAATATTATTATGATTAGATTTGCTAGGGTTGGACACATGAGTTAGACCGCAACTGTCCCACTCTTAAAGATACTAACAGTGCAATAATTAGTCTATATACTATCTGACATCTCTTTTAATAAATCAAACTCTGGATTCATTAAATAGTCACTTGGCCTGTTGTCACATAGTAACTGTTGGCACTTTAACCAAACATAGTGGAAATTGAGGATATTTCAGATCTAGTTTTATTTGTGTTATTAAAACTCAAGAGTGGCAGCCATTTTAGAGCCCTTAGGAGGAAAAAATGATTTCTTGTCATTTTCTTGGCAACAACACAGATGTGATTTGCCATTGTCTTCCACCAAGGTGTTGCTTCAAGCTTTCCAATCCAACTTTTACTCCTGGGATTTCCCAGTAGTCTCTCCTCCAAGCAATAGCCAAGCCCATTTCTGTGTAGCTTTTTTCAAGATCAGCCAAGGTCAATAGAAGTTGCCAATTTAGGAATAATTAATCTCAGAAAACAGCTTTGCGTTGATGCTGTAATTCCTATGCTTTTCTCCATGGAATCTGAAGACTGGGCTGTGCTGCCATATCCACATGGATTAATAGAGGAGCTCATTAAATTAGAACGTCATAGACCACAAGATTTATAAGTATTGAAAGGGCATTTGGGCACTTCCTAGGAGTGCCTTCAGATTCCCTGTTGCCCAGTGATTGGCTTAATTTCAGGGCGCTCAAAAGTATCAGGATCATATTCATAGGTCTTCTAGATCTGTTTGAGCTGTAGGCTGATCAATGAAACAGAAGCTTAGCTTTGTTGGAGAGTATGAGGACGTTCTTCTGTTTACCTCTTGAAGGCTGTGGCTGAAGAAACAGCATACAACTTGTTCCTTTCTCTTTGCTTGTGTCTGATTTTCTGCCCACCATGAGGACTATAGCTCTCACTTTTTACCTTTTTCTGACACTGAAGATCAAAAAAAAAAAAAGTGCAAAAGCTGGTCTTCTGCTCAATATTAAAAGCCAAAACCCCCAAAACAAAGATTATGTCAAGAGGTAGTGCCAGCCCAATGCAAGCAGACTGAGAAGTAGTTGAAGTAGCAAAGATTTTATCTTCATAGGCTAAAACTTCCCAGGGATAATGACCATGGACATGAAATACATGTCTGTTAATTGGGAGAAAGACATGACAAATCTGTCCAAAACATTAAGAGCAGAAACATCATGTTGACAACAAAGGTGTTGTCAGGGCTTTGGTTTTCCCATTTATAACTTCTGGCTATGAAAGCTGAGTCATCAGAAAGGCAGGCTGAACAAAACAAAAGGATGTCTTTGAATTGTAATGCTAGGGAAAATTGTTGAGAATATCCTGGACCACAAGAACAAATGATTCAATACTTGATGAAAGTAAACCAGACTTTTCACTGGAAGCACTAATAATGAAGCTAAAGCTTAGGTATTTTGGACATACATTGTGAAGGAAATAGTCATTGGAGGAGACCATGATGCTTGGAAAAATCAAAGGCAAGCAAAGAAGAGGTCAACAGAAGACAAGGTGGCTAGATAGGATCACTGAAGATACAAGCACAAGCTGTAAGAAATGCTTGTATCTACCAAAGAAGTGATTACTGGCAGAAAATCTTGACAAACCATTGGTTCACCGTTGAAGCAGTTAAATGACTGAACAACACTGAACCCAATCTGTTTGCTTAGAGGTTTGAAGTAAAAAGATGGTTTTTTTATTTTACATTTTAGAATTTGTTTCTTCAGTGTAGTATTCATGGTGTACTTTTTTGCAACATGTTATTGTTAATAACTCTGCTGACTATGTGATATTCTAGAAGAATCTGAGAATATCACTTTTCCTTTGAATGAATATACTAACTAGAATGCTTTTTGAGGAAGCATACAGATATGGAAAAAACACAGCGTTCAGAAGCCTTGAATCTTTTCTGCCCCAACAAAAATTTTGGTTATCAGCTACCACTGTACCTAGTTACCTATCAGTTAGCCATTGTGCATTGGTACAAGCCACAGTATTTCCTTTGTAGAGCATAGCTTATGTATTCTTTATATTTGAAATATATTTGCTTTTTTCCACCCTTAAATTGACAGCTTTAAAAAAATCACTGACAACACAGTTTTAGTAAAGCTATTTGAGCCGCCCAGAGTCACCACTGGGGGAGATGGCGGCATACAAATTTAATAAAAATAATAATAAAATAAATATCTGGATTTCTTTTAGAAAAATCTTTTCAAGTGCTGTCATTGAAAGTTGATAGGACCACCTATATCACTGAAGATACTGTGGTCTAGGCTTTTTTTTTAAAAGGAAACTGGCTTAATCTCAGGTAAAGATGTTATCTTATGTTATCAACCGGTATTTTAGAATTACTGAATCAAGGTCAGTGTAGAGCAAGCAAAGACAAGAAAGAAAGAACAACAGCCTAGGAAATGCTGCATTTATAGGAAGAAATGTCTTTTTTATAGGGGATATGAAGATTACAGCTGGCATGCTTGGTAAAGCAAGTAGCCAGTGATAAAGACAGCAGGGAATATATTGTATGGTAGTTGAGAGAAGATGGCATAATCCATAGCTAGGTAATACTTTTAGTAGAAACCAACAAAAATACTGTACAAAAGTATTTAAGCATTTTGAGTTCTTCAAAAGATGTAGTGGAACACATTATTGATCAAGTGAACATGGGGTGCTAACTGGAGTTTGCTTGGGGGGTTAGGTAAGGATTTTAAGAGGAATTTCCTAGCAAATTTTCCCTCTAAGTCAAGTGTTTGTACTTGGCTAACAGAATTCCCAAACAGAAATAAAAATCCTCCTACTGATGGTATCCTAAGAAACAAGAGTGAACACGATTGGACAGGAATCTTCAGTTGTGACCTGCAATGCTTTTCCACAAGATCTTGGCTTATGTCTGTAATTTGTAACATGAAAGTTTGAAGAAAGAATCAAAGAATAGAGCAGTGAATGGCCATATAAGGTGATGGGAAAGAACAATTTCTCAGTTCAAATTTTTTTAGCAGAAACTAGTGGAAGTAACTGCATAAGAAGGACAGTCAGATGGAAGAACAAGCTCAGTGGATGAGAATAACAGTTGAAAGCAAGACACATAGTTGATATTCTACACTACTGGAACTCAGAACATTTTGGGCCCTTGCAGTTGAATCAGATTAGCATTCAGCAAAAATAAGAGAGATACTATAGAATGGAAGACAGACTGATGATCTAACAGGTACAGAGGATGCAACTGTGCCCTCTAAGAAGGCAAAGAGAAGAGTCATGGTAGTTGATGATTCAGCTACTAACAGTATAAAATAAATTTATAATAAATATAAAGGATTCAACAAGTCCATTGAGAATGATCTCTTCCTTATATATGTGGGGACAAATGATAATTTAAAGAACAGCTACAACCATATCACCACCTATTTTGAACATCTTAGAAGAAAGTTCAAGCTTCTTTAGCTTTGTTCAAATAAAAGGGATTTTTGGAAATTATCTTTAAGAAATCTTGGAGAACTAGTGAAGTGCCAGGTGATTGGAGGAGAACAAATGTTTTCCTGTTTTCCAAAAGGAAAAAAAAGGACAATTCAGCAAGCTACAGACTCAGTCTGAGAGAGATACCTAGATAGATTTTAGAGCAGATGCTAAAGAAATCAAATTGTAAGGACTTTGATAAAAATGTGGCAGTTACTAGAAGTTAGCATAGATCTATCAGGAATGAATCTTGCCACGCTAATCTTATCTCATTTTTTTTTAATTAGGCAACTTAATAGATTATGGAAATGCCATAGGAATAATATGTCTTGATTTCAGCAAATCATTTCACAAAATATAACATGCTGATTAACAAGTTAATTCATTATGGGCTTGATGGCATAATGAAGTAAGTGCATGAAGTAGGTGCTTGATGGCATAACTTGTACTCAAAAATTGTTTATGAATGATTCCTCATCAAATTAGAGAAAGGATTAATTCTGAGTCCGTTGCCCTTCAGTATTTTTATTAATAATTTTGGATGCAGGGATGAAGAGAATACTGTACTTACCAAATTGGCAGATAACACAAAATTGGTGGGATCTCTTAATATTCAAGACAGAAAAATAACTCGAAATCCAACATATTTCAAACAGTAATAGTCCTCAGAGGTGCTAGAAATGCAAAGAATAAAAAAAATTAAAATATTTGTACAAGATTAACTCCTAAAATATATAAACAAAACTGGAGATGCTCAATGTATTAAAAACTAGCACTTATGACAGCCTTATTATTTCTAAGACCAGAGAGAGATTGGAAGTTATCTATTTTTCATATCTTTTTTTTCTTTAGTTTACCTCACTTTTTCTTTTCCTTTTCTTTATATTTTGTATTTCAAATTTTC